GTCAGGCTGGAGGCCCTGGGCTCTGTCTCAGGGCCACTGTACTGTGGAGGGTAAGAGCTGGAGAGCCGCACTCCACACCCTGCCCCTGTTGCTATCCAGTCCCGAGAGAGGCACACTGGACCACCAGCAGGCGGGTGCTGGGCAGGACCTCGCTCACTTGCCTCAGTTCCCAGGGACTCCACATACCAGACCCCTGGCACCATGTGGCGGGACTCAGTGGTCAGGGCATATGCTGAGCCACCACATCAGGTACCCTGAGACCAAGGCTGTCCAGCATGTGCCATGATGTGCACTGCACAGCCAGTCCCAGCTCAGAGCTGCCAGGACCCAGGACCAGCTAGGAGTTGTCATGGGAACTCGGCTGCTGGCGGGGCGGGGCAGGGCAGGGCCGAGGGCAGCGGATGGTGAATCAGCCGGCAGAAGGCCAAGGCGTGAAGCTCAGCATTCTCAGGGTGTGTGTCACCAAGGAGCCCATGGTGCTGGCTTACCCAGGAGCCAGGCCTGCCAGGCAGCAGGAGCAGGCCGGGGACCGAGGGCTGGAGCCCTAAACAAAGGGGCCTTCACTCCACTGGGTGGAGCTGAGTCACGGGGCCTCCCGCCCACCCAGGCGCCACCCCTGGACAGCCCCTCCAGCCTCAGGGCTCACACGGACATAGCCCAGTGAGGCTCCCCCAAGTGTCCTGCCCCTGCTTCGTCCCGGGCACCCCAGCTGCCCTTGCTTGACTATACTCTTGGTGGGGTCCAGTCCAGGCAGGGCTGTGGCTTGAGATCCCTTTCCAGACTCCTGCCCGGAACAGCCTTCGAAATTGCCTGCCCTCCACCACCACCCCTACAGGGAGTCCCTCCCAAAGGATCTGCAGAGAGGAGGCCCCAGGCCACTTCCCCCCTCAATAGCACACACTGGGTCAGCAAGTCTCCGCGGCAGAGCAGGCAGGGCAGGGATGGGCAGCCGGAGGGGAGGGCGGTGGCTGCAAATACCTCTGCGGGCCTCTCGGGGTGTGGGGACAGGGGAGCCCCTCCCAGCCCTTCCCACCCCTGCCTCCTGGGCCCAGCTCCACGTTTCCATTTTAGAAAATGCTTCTGACTATTAAATATTTATCCGAGCAAGTAAGGCCTTGGCTCCCGGCCGGCTGTGGGTTCCAAAAAAAGAAAAATGAAGGATAATCTGGAGGCCCAGGCTGAGTGCAGCAGGAGCCTGGTGGAGACACCCTCGAAGCTCACAGTGCAGCCAGGGACCCTGCTGCCCTTAGAGTGGGTGGAGAAGAGCAGGGGGCATGGCCTGTCCTCCCTGCGTGTCCACTGAGACTCCGCTAAGCTCCCTCCAGGCTCACCTGGCCTCCATGGGGGCATGGAGCAATTCCTTTCCACCAAAACTGCCCTAAGACCTAGGAACTCCCCAGAGCCCCGTTGCCCTCAGGACAAAGCCCTCCCTCCAGCAGTTGGCGCTGTCCCCTCTCCATCCTCCCCAGTCCCGTCCCAGATGCACTGGGCTGAAAGGCTGCAGATCCCTGACCTCGCCCCCTGCTCTGCAAGCTCCTCCTGTCTTCCTCCGCTTCTTTTTCATAAACAGTCCTAGTCTCCGTCGGGCCGGTTTCCCTCCAGGGAGCCCTCCCTGGCCCCTCCGTGCCCCCAAGCCTGCACTGGCCACAAAAGCGATTCACGTTTGTTGAATGAACACTGGGTGCATGCTTGCTCTGCTGAGGTAGGACCTTCGGTCCCAGGGTCCCTGGGTGGCTGGCTCTGAGACCTAGATCGATGGATGGACAGGCAACCAGATGGACCGGGAGGCACCCCCACACCTCACACCATCCCCGAGGGCAGGGTCTGCCTCTGCCAGCCAGAAGACCAAGCTGGGAGTGTGGCGTTTTACTCCTTTAATGGGTGGCAGGGACCCTCAGACGGCCAGTTCTCCCCACTTCCTGGGGATTTGGGGCCTTTCCTCCCTAGCACCTATACTTCCCCACACCTGGGCAAGCCAGCCCCCAGCTAAGCAGATGCCAGCTGCCTGAAACACAGAGGCCTTCAGCACAGGTGTCACAAGAGGGAAGACACAGAGTGGGTCAGAGGGAGAGCTGGGAGTGAGCCCAGCAACCCAGGGGGCTTCCCGGAAGAGGCAGCTCCTAGCCCAGCCCAGGACAGAAGAGCTTGGCCAAATGGAGAGAAGGCAATGAGGGCATTCCCACTGTAGGCTCAGCCACAATGAGCCAGGTGGGATCGGCACTCAGCTTCCTGGGCATGGAGAAGGCTGGGAGGGAGCGGGCTCCTGGGGCATTGGAGCCGGGTGCCCTGCGGGCCTGACCCTCCTGCCCACTTCTGAGCCCCACCCCCTCCCTGGTCTGAACCAGGTGGGCACTGCCTGAGGCTTGGGGCAGGAGCCAGAGGCCAGCAGGCAGCCAGCCTTTCTCCCTGGTGGTCCAGCTTCAGTTTCCCCAGCAGGGAAAGAGCTGGGGTGTTGTCAGGAACACACTTACGACATCACTCTTGGTGGCTTCTGAGAGGCCACCTCGGTGGGGGATGAGGGGGACAGTCCAGGGTGCCCTGTGCTGCCTCCTCCTCAGTGCCCGTTCCTGCCACTAGGTGGCTACAGAGGGGCTCCTTTGCCTGCAGCACCCTCCCTGGTGGGGCAGAGCAGAACCAGCACCTGTCAGAACAGCAGGTCAATGACCAAAGCGCTCCATGTGCTGCTCTGGCCCCTGAGAGCCCAGGGAGTCCTCGCTGTCTCCATCTGCAGGATGGGAATACACAGCCCTCCCCCAGGGTAGACAACCCGGTCAGGGGGACACTAGGGTGGTGACAGGCCCGCCAGCACTGGCACTTGCATCCCCATCTGCACGGGCAGCCACAATCACTCCCGTCCCCGAATGCAAGGTCCTGACCCACACTTGCAGCCCCAAGGCCCTGAAGAGAGCAGCAGCGAGGGACAGAACAGCAAGACCACCTCCACAGCTGCCCTGCTTTGCACCTCTCTTGGGAAAGGGCCCAGCCATGTCATGGCCCCACCCCAGCAGAGAGACCACCCAGACATCCTCACATGGTGTCACTGCACCGGGGGCCTTCCCAACACGGTGGTGCTTCCTTGGGGGTGTTGTTGTGGAAGGTGCTCAGGCCAAGCCAGGGGCAGCAGGTGCAGAGCGGGGACTGGGGCCAAGGCTGGGGGAGTCGAGGGGAGGGTTTCCCTGTCTCCCCAGCTGTCGGGGGCCCAGCTCTGCCCCTGGGAAGGGGCCAGTCTGCCCCTGGAGTAGGCAAGGGTGTGACACCCAGCACCCATTGGGAGTGAACTGGCTGGTGTTACAGTCAGCACTACGTGGGGTTGGTGCACCCAGGCAGAGCCCCCTTCCCTGGGGCTGTGAAGGAGTCAGGCTTGGGGCCACTAGGTCGGGCGATCCTGCGAGGGATGTTCCCAGCCCGGCCACCAGGGGGCAGCCTTGGCGCGAAAGCTGCCGGGAGATGGCTCCTTGCTGGGCTGGTGCCTGGGGCTGCTGGCAGAGGGCAGGTTTGGACTGGACAGGAAAGGAAGGAGAGAACAGGGGAGAGTCTGCCCATCTCTGGCCTGCTGAGAGGGGACTGCAGGTGGAAAAAGCCTGGACCAAATCCAGGCTGGGAAAGGCAGTAGGTGGCAAGGTGCTTGTCAGGAATGCACATTCCTGGGCCACAGGGTTGGGGAGGGCCTGGGAACTGGCACACTGGACAGAAGTCCCAAGGGCTCTGACCTTGCAGCTCTCCTACCAAAGCCCCAATGAGCACCACTGACCTTATTCCCTAAGAGCAGATGGTTCTGTGGGCTGGACACAGGGAGGGACTGCCTGGGAACCAGGAAGCCAGCACAGGCTCTGCGGAGACAGCGGGTGGATGAGATGGTCCTGGACCTTGCAGCTTGGGAGTCTCTGGGTGCCCAAGAATGAGGAAGAGGCAGAGTGGAAGGGCTGCCTTGGGAGCACCTGCTGCGGGGGGGCATGACCAGGCCGAGGGCACCCCTCTGCACCTGCAGCATCATGGGCATCATTACCATCGACCTGTTTTCCCCAAGGAGTAGGTGCAGCCTGCGCCCGTGCCGGCCAGCCCAACCCCCCGGCCAGTGGCTGCCAATGCCCTGGGTGTGGCCAGGCTGCAGCAGCAAGACCCAGTGCCCAAGGGACTGCCCCCCCTCCCCGCCCTGCCCTCCAAGATGCTGAGACACCCAGGCCCTGGAACCAGGCCCAATGCGGGGACAGACACACAAAGAGCACCAGGTACCCATTCTGTAGACTGCGGCTCAGAGGGAGGCTAATGACCATCTCTGGGGGGCATGCCAGTGGGCAGCACCCACTTTCCCTTGCCCAGCACTGCGGGACCCTGTGGCCTGACTCTGACCCCATTCAGGCCCCTCACCAGGTTCCAGAACTCAGGCATAGCCTGCCACAGCCTCCACCTAGCCGGCGACACCCCCACAGCCACACAGTAGATGCAGCCCAGACCACACTGGCAGCCCTGGACCAAAGCCGAGGGCCCACACTCCCGGACCAGCCTAGCTGCTCTCCCCCAAAGCAGGTGAGAGCGCAGGCCTGGTGCAGATGCCCGGGTCGCGGTGGTCTCGGCTTTCGTGCCCCATGCAGACACCAGCCCAGCTCCAGAGAGCGGTAGCACCTCCCAGGAGGCTGCTTCTCGACCAGACAGCATCCCCGCAGCGGGGCAGGAACGAGAAGAGACAGACAGGGACCGCGAGTGACGGAGTGAGCGACAGAGACGAGTCAGCCACCGAGAAACAAAGTGAGCGGCAGGGACAGCCCCAGAGGCCGGGAGAGGAGCGGGGACCGAGAGCCGCGGACAGGCAGAACGCGAGGCACGGGAGAAGAGACCCCAGCGCCCAGGGAGGCCCAGAACCGCGCGCGAGTCCCGCCGGCGTCCCCGAGGCCCCCGCCCCAACGGCCCGCACTGCGCGCCCCCGGACACTCCCCGGCGCGCGCCCCCGCGCGGAGCCCACCCGCCCCAGGGGAGCGGGCTGCAGGCGGGGAGGGGCGCACCGCTGCCGGGGGTTCCGGGCCAGGTGGGCAGCACCATGTGGAAGCAGTCGCACATCGCGGCGGCCGTGCGGTGCGGGCCGGGTGGCCCGTCGCGTCCAGTCGCTGGTCCCGGCTCCGGCGCACCGGGCGGGCGGGCGGGCTGCAGCCGCGCTCTGCCCGGCGGGCCTGCGCTGCCGCTGGCGGCTGGCCTCGGACTGCAGACCCAGCGCGCCTGGCTACCCAGCGGCTCAGCTAGGACCCCGCCCGGGTCCGCCCAGCCCGGCCCCGCCACTGCGGAGCGCGCGCGCGGGCGGTGCCGCCGGCCTCATTCAGCCCATTGGCTGCCGTCGCCGCGGCCCCGCCCCTCCGGGCCAGGCCCCGCCCTCCAGACCAGGCCCCGCCCCGCCCGGCGCCCCCTACCCGCCGGGCGCCCCCGACCAGCCGGTCGCGTCCGCAGGATCGACTTTGGACTCTTGCCAGGGAGGGACCACCGGACCCCTCACTGAGGCTCCTGGACTTGCCGCTGTCTTCACCTCCCAGTCCGGGGAGACAGACACTTAAGTCACAAGCTGGGGTGGGGGGCAGTCTGCTGGGACAAGAGTGGTCGCGAGCGCCCCCGAGGGTGATCTGGACGCACAGGGACAGGATAGAATTCCGCAGGGGCTGGGGCGGCAGATGAGAGGGCGCGGCTGAGAGCGTGCAGCGGGAACGGGGTGCCCCGGACAGGGCGGCGGGGTGGGCTCTGCGGGCGGGAGCGCCCGGCGCTGGGGGCTGCCCTGGAGCCAGGACCCCGCCCAGAGTCATCCTTTCTGCTGATTCTTGTCAAGAGCCTGGGGCCTAGGACACAGCGGCGGCCAGCACCCCACTGGCCCTGCCCCAGGGGCTCGGGGTCTGGTGTAGACACAGGCAAGCCTGCAAAGATGAGGCTTCTGCACGGCGGCACTGCTCTGAGGGCGGGGAAGCAGGGGTCCTGGAAGGCTCCTGGCAGCTTAAGCTGGGACCTTAGGGGTGCGGCATGAGCCAGGCGGTGCAGGAAGAGTGTTCCAGAGAGACAGAACAGAGTAGCGTGCGTGCAGAGAGTGAGGGCAAAAGGGCTGTGTTCAAAGTCAGGCCCAGTGGGCGGGGGCCGGGCAGCAAGGCTGCTGAGGGGGCTCTTGTGGGTGGGAGGTGCCACCTAAGGCTCCAAGCAGGGTTTCTGAATTTGGTGAGAGCTGAGGAAAGACTGCGCACGTGGCTAGGTGTGTTGGCATGGGGCACTGCTGGAATCATGAGCAGCTGAACGAGGGAGTGAAAGGATCCCGGGATATTGGGGCAGAGGGGACTTGGTGAGGACCAGGGTTCGAGGGTGGGAACCTCCCTGGGATCTAGCTTGGGCACCACACAGAGGTGGCACACCTGGGGGTGGGGATAGGGAGGGCAGGGGACCAAGGGAGTTCTAAGAGTTAGCTGAGGCCTGGCCTGGTGTAGACCTGAGTGGGGCACACCTGGGAAGGGGCGGAGTTCTGCAGAGGTTGTGGGGGGAGGCAGGGCTGGAACAGTCCCAGGAGAGGACCACCAGCACCAGGAGGACCTGCCTGGCAGTGTCCAGGGGTGTGGGTCAGATGCAGGGACACACACACACACACACGGACACACATACAGAGACACACAGATACACAGACACACACTCACACAGGCACATACGCTCACAGACACACACACAGGCATACAGACACAAAGGACAGAGACATTCAGACACACAGATACACAGATACATACACAGGTATACACAGAGACACACACACAGACACACAGACACAGGCATATACACACACATAGACACACACATACACAGAGACACACACAGAGGTGGTACACCTGGGGGTGGGGACAGGGAAGGCAGGGGCCCAAGGGAGTTCTAAGAGTTAGCTGAGGCCTGGTCTGTGTAGACCTGAGCAGGGCACACCCTGAAGGACTCACACACAGATGCACACACGCACAGAGGCATACACACACAGACACATACACGTAGAGACACACACTCTCTCTCTCACATGCACACACAGACACCTTTTCCTGGAGTGGGAAGAGGCCAGGCTGTATGGGGAGGGCCATGCAGACACACACACTCATAGGCAAGATCACAAACTCAGCACCACACAGACACCGGTCACCTGGCATATGTGTCGATACACTCGGAGACAGGCACACACACACTCAGGCCCACATTTAGGAACACCCACACCAAGAAGAATGCACATATGCACAGGTGCACACACTCCTGCTCACTGGGAGGCCAGGCACAGCCAGCACGCCCAGGTGAGCCCCCCGAGTGCGATGACTCACTCTAGACAGTTCCCGTTAGCCGCGCTGCAGCCACTGGGCAGCCGTCCAGCAGCCAGCCAGACGTTCGCCAGAGCCAGTGCCCGGAAGAGGCCCTGGCAGCCTCCTCCCCACCAACCCGGGCGGGTTGGGGCACAGCCTTCTCCCTCCTGCAGGGACACGCGTGGGTCTTACCCTGCCTCCTCACGGTGTCCTTCTTTCGGGGCTGAACAGTGTTGCCTGGGGCCCAGAGGCCCTGCACTCACCTCCTTCCCCAGGGACGCACCCTACTCTGCCTGCCTGGAGTCAGTCACTCCCTGGGCACAGGGAGGTAGCCACTAGGGTGCCCGCGTGCATGTGCCTCTGTCTGCCACTCCTCTGTGCCTCAGTCTGGCTGCAGGGCCTGGGAACAAGGGGCAGCTCTGGGCACTCACCCACCTTTGTGTCCTCAGCCCCATTAGGTGTGTGCCCTTGGCAAGGTCATGTGGCCCCCTGAGCCCCCATCCAAATGAACTGGCCCCTGACCCAATGGTCCGGCATGATCTGTACAGGGCTATGGGGACTCCCCTCAGCTTTGCGGGGCGGGTGAGGAAGGAACCCTGGGTGGGGAGGCCGGGGCTGCCTCCCAACGTGTCCCTGTCCATGGGATCCTACCTGCTGCCCCTGCCTCTGTTTTCCTTCGGAAAGATGAGAGAGCCCTCAAGGCCATCTCGGTGGGGGCTGAGTGAGAGCACTAGTTCAGCGTGGCATCGTGGGAGTGTGGGGACCCCACACTCCAGAGGACTTTGCCCTGGCCCTGTCCCTCAGTCTGGGGTGGCTGAGACCTTCCCCAAGCTGTGTTCACTGAGCCTGCCCACCCCTGGCTAAGAGATGGTCCCAGAGCCCAGCCACGGCTGCCCAGGATCAGGGACTTTGCCTCTGCCCCGGATGGAGCTGCCCACGTCCACAGCAGGCACACACAGACACACACACGCACAGCTGCATGGTGCTCCCCTGCAGCCCCAGATGCAGGACCCAGAATTTAGGATGAGGTGTGGGCACGGCTTGTTCTGCCCATAGGCACCCTCCCTTCTCCTGCCTGCTCTGAGACAGAGGGCTGGTGTCTCTGCAGTGGCCTCTGGCTCTGCCCCACCCTGAATGCTGGGGCTGCAGTCTGGCTGTGACTCTCAGGGGACCTGGAAACCCTAACTAAGGACTGCCCCTCCCACCCACCTTCTGGGGTCTTCTCCCAGCTTGAGGGTTAAGCTGAGAGTGTCCTGAGTAACAGACACCTTGGAGTGTCTTTCCAGAGAGCTTCACCACCTCAGGGAACCCCAGTACTCCTGGGGCCCTGAGGGCTCTATCTCACTCCAGATGCCTCTGGGAGGGCCTGCCACTTGGGCAGTGCACCCCCACAAACGGGCAGGCTGCGGCTATGTGAGGCTGGGGGCTGGCTCCCCAGGGCCCAGCCAAAATCCCTGCACCAGGGCCTCAGCAGCCCAAACGGGGCCCAGGGTCACAGCTGTGGGAGCAGGAGAGAAGGTGAGCACGGCTGCCAGCCCCCATCCGTCCCTCCCCACCAGCTGAAGCCTCAGCTCCTGTCTTCACGCCCAGCTCCAGTCTCCTCCCCATGTTCCCCTCTGGGGACAGATGCCCAGCTAGGGAGGACCACAGAAGCGGGGCTCAGGAATGCATGCCCCCATGCACAGCATCACGGGACACGAGCCCAACTCATGATCACCCCTGGCACATACGAGGCCCCACACCTGCTGTGGGGTGATCCCCAGGGAGAGGGTGTCACATGCTCTCTCCTGTTCACGCAGCCTCTACCTCCTCCTTGGACCACTGAGATGGCAACACTGGCCAAGCCCACTGGTTGCCACGGCCTTCCTGAGGCTGGGTGCCAGGACATGGGGTGCAAGCCCTGGTGGGACCTGGGTGAGGAGCCGAGGCTCCCCACGCCCTGATGTGTTCACAGAGCTGCCACCCTGCCCCCATGGCCTGACTGGCTGCTTGCCTCCACCCTCCGCCAGCAGGGATGCCCACGGCATCAATGATTGATGCTTGCTGCGGCAGCTGCAGCAACATAAGCAAAAATAGCTCTGCTGTGGTCCTTGCCCCGCCCCATTCACAGCCTTGCATGCAGCCCAGCCCTGTGCCCAGATGGAGGGGTGTGAGGAGAGGTGAGAGCAGCGAGGACCTTCTCAGCCACCACCTGCCCCTGCTCAGTCTTTTGCATGGAGATGATGGGGGAGGACCCCTGTGAGCAGGTGGGGGTACTTGTCCACCCAGCTTCCCCCTCTTGCCTGATCACACTGACTCCTGACCTGCAAAGGCCTCACTCTCTCTCAAAGCTGGGTGCCTGTTTCAGGCCTGGGTATTGTCCCCAGGTCCACTTCCTCTGCACCTACACAGCTGGGATCAGGAAACACGGCTGTAGGGGTCATGTCAGGGTGCTGCCTTCGTCCCATGCAGGTGGGCTTCTTTCAACGCCTGTGTCTCCATTGATCCCTCTGGCTCAGCAGTCCGCCCCGTAACTGAGTAGCAGCAGGTTCCCATGCTGCTGCCTGCAAGCCCTGTCGTTCCTGCTGCTGGCGGCGAGGACAGGCACTCTCCCCCGCTTGCCCTAAGGACCTGGGGCTGAGGATTGCAGAGGAGCAGGATGCCTGGGTGCTTCTGGGGACCCCTGCCCAGCCAGTCCTTGCTCATCAGGTGATGCTGGGAGGTGCTTGACTGTGGGGTTCTGTGGGGGGTGGCACTAGCCAAAGGGCTCAGGCTGGCCCCTCCTGCTGAGGCTGGGGTTGGGAAGCTCGGCTCCTCTGCAGAGGGAAGGTGCTCCCCACACACTCATTGAGCAGGGCTGGGGCTCAGGGGTGCACAGAGGTGGCTGGAGAGGTCCTGAGAGGGCCACATGGGCTATTCCTCCTGACCACACTGCACCTGCCCCCTCCATGCCCCTCAGGAGTCATGGCTAATGTCCCCCACACCCAGACTTTAATGGGAACCCACCCTCTCGTGCCCAGTCTCCTTTAGCAGCTGGGGCCAATTCAGCTTGAGCAGTGCCTGCTCTGCTCACCAACCTGGAAGCCTTGTCCTCAGCTGGTGCCCCAAAGGGCTGTGCCATGAAGCCGGCTCGTCCGCCCAGAGCTGGCCCAAGAAGCCAAGCTGCCTAGTAGCTACCTGGGCTGCCCCACCTCCTCCTGCAACCAGGGTTGGGCACCAGAGGTCAAGGTCGCCTCTGCCATTTCCTCTGCACCTTGGCTTCCCCGAGGCAGCACCTTTCAGTGGGTTGCAAGGGGTCACTCAGTGTATCAGCGCTGCTGCTGCCATAACAAAACCAGAAACGCAGTGTGGAAAACAGCATGCGGCACACTGACCAGCTCTTCCAGGTGTGGGCTGGACGGTGTGCCTTCTGGAGGCTTCAGCGGGGACCCATTTCCTGGTCCCTTCGGCCTCCAGAGGCATCTGCAGTCCTGAGCTGGTGCCCGGTATCACTCCAGCTCTGCTTCCATCTCTGCGTCTCGTCTATTTCCTGACCAGGCCCTTTGTGATTGCTCCTCACCAGGCTCCTCTCCACCTTCCCAGAGCCTTTCACTGAAGCACATCTATAAAGTGGCTTTGGCCTCGTAAGGTCACATATTCACGGGTTCCAGGGATTGGGATGTGGACATCTCTGTGGGGCTCTGTTCAGCCACCACACCAGCTAATCAAGCCATATGGGTCATTTTTATACATCCTGGGGGTACTGTGCGCCCCACGCTCTCCACATGGAAGCTGAGGCCCAGTTGGGAGTGGGGGATTGCAGAGAACCAGGAGAACAGCTCCTGCCCCAGCTCTGCTTCTCACACAGGCCTTTGGGGCTGGGCCTCAGTTTCCCCACCTGTACACAAGGACAACACTCCTCCTGCCCGCCCCCCCCCAGGTCCTGGGCCTCAAGAACGGCAAGGACAGTGCAGTGATGAGGGCAGCAGTGGGAATGGCCGCTGCCCCTAGGCTGGCAAGACAGGCTCAGGCCTGGTCTACAAATCCAACCACTGCCCAGTCAACATCCTTAGGGCCACTGTGGTGCTGGGGTGGCCAGGCCAAGGTCCAGTCCCAGACAGTCTGACAGAAGAGCTCCCATACTGCGTGGCCTGGCTGCTCTGCCCCTCAGGAAGGAGGGGGAATGGGAGGCTGGTCTAAGGCGCAGAGAATGATCTCATCTTGCCATTTGTAATATTAAAGTTTTCGGGAACTTGGCTGAGAAGGACCAGTGGGGGAAGGAGTGATTCAAGCAAGGACAGAGTCCAGGCCCCAGGGTGAGAGAAATGTGAGCCTGGAAGTGGACAGGGTGGACAGCGGGTGGTGTGGGCAGCGGGTGGCTGGCTCAGGCCTTCACCAGGGCCAGGCCCTCCTCTTACTCAGAAGAGGCAGTGATGGGTCCAGTCTGGGAAGGCCAGGGAGGAGATGGAGTCAGGTTGGCTCCTTGAGTCTGGGGGTGAGGGCAGAGGGCAGAAGGCCTGGAAGCCCAGAGGGGAGCTGGCAGAAATCAGGCTAGCTCCTCAGTCCCGCTGTGGCTGGAGAGAGGCTGTCCACCAGCCCGGATCTGCCGGGGGCTGGCTGATGACAGCAGAGGGGGCACTCCGTGGGGCCTGCGAGGGAGGGATGGAGCCTCCCTGCCGCTCCTTCCCCCGGGAAGGCTGTCGAGTTAGGAGAGGTTCTGGGGTTCAGGAGTCAGCAAGACGGACTTGGCCCTCGCCTGGGGGAGCTGGAGTCCTGAGGGGCCTTCGCTCAGCTGCACCCACAGAGGCGGCGCGGCGAGCTCAGCCGCGGGGCGTCGGGAGAAGGTGCTGCGGGTGATGGATGCGCCGGGTCGGGCCTGGGGGACTTGTCGTGAGGAAGAAAGAACCACTCTGGCAGCGAACTGAGGACGGACAGGATGCTCGTGCGGCCCCGCGCCCAGGGATCTGCCCGTGGGGAGGCCCGAACCCAACCACAGTGGCTGCGGCCCGGGGCGGGGCCTGAGGGCGGGGCCGGGCCAGGGAGGGCGGGGCCGGGCCAGGGAGGGCGGGGCCGGGCCAGGGAGGGCGGGGCCGGGCCTTGGGGCCTGAGGGCGGGGCCGGTGCTGGTCACGCCCCGGGTGCGTGCTGACGCCACGGCGGTGAACGCCGGAAGCGGAGGTGGCGCACGCCGTTGCCGGGCAACAGGGCGGCGTGGGCTGGAGGGGACGGCTGGTGGCAGGTTTCGCCCGGCTTGCCGGGCCCAAGTGAGGCGGCGACGAAGGTGCGTGCGGGCCCTGGGTGCAGGACGCGTGGGGACCCTTGCGAGCCGCGGGCTGGGCACTCAGCCGGCCACCTCGGACCCTGTCCAGACTCGGCGGTCCAGGGCTGCCCTGCGGGCCGCGTGCGAGAAGGACTCTCTGGAGACCCCGGGGCGCCGCACCCCTCCTTCCCACTTGGGCCTCCAGTGGGAGCCCGGTTCCCGCTCCTCTGGTCAGTGTGGGGCTCCCAGGCCTGCTCGAGACTCTCTCCAGAGAAGGAGCCCCGCCTTGGGCCGCTCGTCGCACACGTGCCGTGGGTCCGGGACGCGCCCCTGTGTCGGACTCCGCGCCGGCGCGCATAGGAGGAAGCCAGGACTTCCGGGCGACCCCGCCGTGTTTGTGGCTTGTGTCAGCTCCACAACAGCACGTGGGCCCTCTCCACCATCAGCCACTGGGCAGCCCGGGGCACTCCTGCGCCTCCCAGGCCCTATCCAGGACAGGGGAAGGTTGGGCGGCCAGCACTGTGGTGTGCGTGTCTCAAGAGCAGCTGCCCATCGGGCCTCTGCTGGCCTGGCAGCTCCAAGATGCAAGACCGGCAGCAGCTCGGGGAAGAGCCTTTGAGTGACTTCCAGGCGGAAGCAGCCAAGGCTTCCCTCCGAGTGGCACCTGAGAGGCTGAGTGATGACAGTTTGGAATGGATACGGATCTCCCCTGACCTTCTCCTGCCGGGTGGGAAAACCAGCAACTCCCTGCCCGGTGAGGGTGGTTCCACCTGCACCACCCGGTGTCCTGACCCTGGGGAGCACAGCAGCACTTGGGGGGAGTTTGAAGGCTTTCGGGAATCTTCAGCTAAGTCCGGACAATTCTCGCAGTCCCTGGAACTCCTGGAGGGACCCACAGAACTCCAGCCACCGAGAACCACTTCTGCCCCAAAGGAGTGCAGTTCTCACCAGCCGTGCCAGGGTGGACCTTGGGTGACAGGAACTGCTGCTATCCCACCTTCTGAGGTATTTCTACAGCGCTGTGGTCACCATGTTGAGTGGGACATGTGTACACACCAAGAGGCCTGCAACCCTGAATGCTGTGGTGTGCTGGCCAGGGAGGGACTGACAGCCTTGGAAGATCTGCTTCTCTCCTGGCTGTCATCCCTGGCCATGTGGTTGGCAGTCCCATCCTGAGGCCAGGGAAGGAATGAATTGTCAGAGGAGGCTGCAGAAATGGGTCACGCCAAGGCCAGGTGGGGGCCACCTGAGCTGGGTCCCTCTCTCTGACCATTCCTCCCCCGGCCTATCTACTCCCCATTGGCAGGCTGCACAGGCCCGAGGTCAGGGCGTGTAGGGAGGAACTTTATGTCTGAATTCTGAATCTGCAGAGTTCAAAAGTCTCAGAGATTCTAAAATCACATGATCACATTTCAACTTGTTGTAATGAATTGGGTGATGCCTGATCTGACCTGTCCGGGAGCCCTGGTCCCAGCCCTCAGCCCCTTGCCCCCTGCTCTCTTTCAGAGCTGACTGTCACGTTTTACTGCTGGTGACACCTCTGATCCTTCTCTTTTCCTGTCTTCTTCCTCCTTCCATTGTCTGCTTTCTCTGCCACTTCTTCCCAAGTGGTTCATCCCAAACACCATCATGAGACATAAGAAGTAAAACCAGTGAGGAAGGAAATAAAGATATTGCGGTTCTCAGGGCTGGACTGTTTGTTTACTACACTGGTCAGTTTCCCTGGACCCTGACAAGATCCGCTCTAATAGAGGAAGGTCTGCTGTCATGCTTGTTTTGAACACAGGATTTGTTTTCCAGCATGATTGATGTATTAGGGAACAATTTGAGCATAGTTGAAATTTCACAAGAAGGAGTAGATGATTGCAGAAAACTGCCCCCAGCTGAGCTGGGGCACACTGGAATACATGAGAGTTGCATACGCACACCCTCAAACAGCACACCCGTCCACACCTGGTGTTAGGACTTCGCCCAGTTCAGACCGCCTTCCTCCCACCTGTTCACACTAACAGCCTGCGAGCCTTTGTCTTTTCCAAGGTAAAGTGCTGTGCTTATTGTAGTATATATAATTTCTTCACCAAATATGGAAAACAGTGCTAACATTATTGGGTGGCCATCTTTTTTCATGTGTCACTGACAAAGTTTCAATGTTTTGCCCTAACCTCACTTTTCCCATGAGCCCTCTGGTTTTGTGTGATTTTGCTAATGTGGTGATTTTTAGGAATGAATATGGCAAGTGATAGTAACACTAAAGGTATGATCAATTACACATTTCATGGGTATCATTATTTCTTTGGAATAAGGTAACGTGATGTGTCTTTCTCCTAACTTCAGTATGCTTTCGTTTTTTTCTTTTCAGCCCATTCTCAGCAATGAGAACATTTTAAAGTGTGCTTTTCAAGAAATAACAGTTCAGCAGGCAGCTGAAGACATTTCCACCCTAGACCATTTCCTAGAAATAAGCAGTGAGGAAAAGCCTGGCCTTGAATGTGTGCATAAATTGTGGTAATGAACTTAAGAAATATTTCATACAGCAACCCCATTTTTACTTTTGTTTGATAAAAGTAGATGTGTGAGGCTTTGTTTTTGCCTTTCTAGGGCCATCTCTCCTGAAGGCCCTGCCATCTATAGGTCACAGGGGTCCTATCAGGAGAGGGCAGCAGGATTGATGCTCCAGCTGTGGCCTTCCACTCCGAGCCCTGTTCATCCCCTCCCACACCAGGTCACCTGGAGCAGCTGGACCCGAGCCCCGCTCCCGTTGGGTCTCAGTGCCAGCGTTGGGGGAGGGCTGAGGGACTCGCACTCGGTGCGAGTGGCTGGTGGGCCTGAGCAGTGCGTACAGGGGCCTTCTGGGGAATGTGGCTGAGTGGGCACTGGCTGCCTCATGGTCCTCAGCCACAGAATTCTAGAAAATACTCCACACTCTGCAGCCCCATTCTCAGCCCCAGGCCCAGCCCCATGGGTGTGCTCCCAGTGCTGGCTGTGGGGCTGCGGGCTCCTAGGAGAAGTCATACATGCGGTCGTTTGCAGATGGCCATTTTCTAGGGACACATTTTCAACTGAACATTGAGAAAGAAACAGTGGTCTGGTGGATTGTGCAGCAGTGGTTGGGAAGCTCAGGATAAGTTAGCCCAAAGCCCCAGAGGGAGGAGTGAAGTGAAGGCTGGAGTGAGCTGGCTTCCCTGTTTCTCGGTGTGGTCTGTGGAGTGGATCTCCCAGCAGCCAGGGGAGAGCCAGGTTGGCCTGCTGATTTGTGTGTCTCTGAGCAAGCCTGGACTTTCATAGGACTCTACAGACAGGCCGTTCTGGGCTCTAGCCCTGGCCCACTATGGCCTCTACTGGGGTCCATCCCAGCACCTGCCCCAGAGTATACTCCACAGGGGCCTGAAGATAGGCCTGGAGCCCAGAAGGCTGCAGCCAGCATTGCCCAGATGACCAGTATGCCCTCTGTATGTGGTGCTTCTGCGAAGCAATATCCTGGAGAAAAACTGCCAAGAATGTGGTCCCAGCAAGCTGGTGGTGTGGGAGGTCACTGCTGGCAGTACTGACATCTCTGTCCACAGCAGCACGACTCGTGGACCCAGAGGCATGGGGAGTCCTGGGTGTCAGGACCTGGCTGGGCTGGACACTCATGGGACAGAAGGCTGGATGGCACTTTGGGGGTGGAATAAAGCATGGTTTGTGAGTTCTGAACATTGCCGTATTTTTGGAAATGGTTTGGCATTTAGCACATCTGGCCTTCTTCTGTAGTTATCTGGAGTGCAGTGGCGTGATCTCAGCTTACTGGAACCTCTTCCTCCTAGGCTGAAGCGATCCTCCTGCCTCAGCCTCCCGAGAACTGGAACTATAGGCTCACACCACCACACCCAGCTAATTCTCGTATTTTTGTAGAGACAGGGTTTTGCTATGTTGCTCAGGCTGGTCTCGAGCTCCTGAGTGCAAGTGATTTGCCCTCCTCAGTCTCCCAAAGTGCTGGGTGGTGAGCCACCACACCTGGCCTTGCAGTCATTTTCCCTTTTCTGCCAGCGCATGAACTGCTTACAGGAAACTCGTCTCAGTCCCCCACAGCATGTAGCAGTGACGGGTGGCACATAGTAGACAGTCGCCCGTTTGTTTGTGAGCATCTATTTTGTACTCAGCACAGTTCGAGGCACTTGAATGAACAAAACCAGCAAAATACCCAGCCTCATGGAGCGTCTGCTCCTTAGAGGAGACAGTAGGGACAGTGAGTAAGCCACTGCCAGGGAAGGTGGTGGGAGGCGCAGAGAGGGCATGGGAGGGGGTTGGGGTGCTGCAGGATGCCACGTGTTATTTGAATAAAAGCATAAATAGGTAAATAAACGAGACAGCTCAGGGTTGCTGCAGGGAATGCTCTTTTTAGGGTTCTTAACAGCCATGTGTCTCTTGGTTCTCGTGGGTCTCAGCCTAGGGGTAAAGGCCAGGTGCCTGCCGTGTGCCTTGGGCAGTGCTGCAGTGACCTCATCAGAAGGCCTTCAAGGTCACCTTTTAACAACTGCATCTATTTTCCAGTAATGAATCTAGAAAACTCTGGAGAGTCCTTCAGAACACATACACGTCTGCTTCTCAGTGCCTCTGGAGCGAATCTCATTGCCAGGAGAATTTTTTTCTCGTTCTCGGGATAGATGCCATGCAGAAGGTAGGTGGTTTGGGCTGAGACAGGGCTCCTGGGAGTGTGGTTGGACTTCACTGAGGCCAGTGGCCCTTGGCTGCTCCCAAGGGTAGTGGGATCACCTGGAAGTGTGGGGTCACCTGGACATAGGTGGGTTAAAGCCACTAGGTGGCCCCATAAACTTGTCAGGGCCATTGGATAAGTCCCTAATGCTTGAGGCAGGAGCCAGCAAAGCCCAGAGCAGGAGGCAGGGAAAGGCTCCGGAAGGAACCGGCCTGAGCCGGCAGCAGACAACAAACACAGAGCCGCGTATCAGTTCACACTCATGGCTGTGCACACGCTGCCTTATGCATATGCCGCCACACACCACCACATGCACACACTGCCACACACACACTGCAGCCCACAACCGCCACACACACGCTGCAGCTCACACACCGCCGTATGCACACACCGCCACACACTGCAGCCCGCACACCACCGCGCACACACACCGCCACACACACGCTGCAGCCCGCACACCACCGCACACACACGCTGCAGCCCGCACACCGCCACACGCACGCTGCAGCTCACACACTGCCGCATGCACACACCGCCACACACTGCCACATGCACACCGCTGCACAAACACACCGCCACACACACACGCTGCAGCCCGCACACCGCCGCACACACACGCTGCAGCCCGCACACCGCCGCACGCACACGCTGCAGCCCACACACCGCCGCACACACACACAGCCTGCACACCGCCACACACACACACACGCTGCAGCCTGCACACTGCCACACACACACGCTGCAGCCCGCACACCACCGCACACATGCTGCAGCCCGCAGCCCGCACACTGCCGCACGCACACACCGTCGCACACACACGCTGCTGCCTGCACACCGCTGCACACACATGCTGCAGCCTGCACACTGCTGCACGCACACACCACCGCACACACACGCTGCAGCCCACACACCGCCACACACACACGCTGCAGCCCACACACCGCCGCACGCGTACACCGCCGCACACACACGCTGCAGCCCGCACACCGCCACACGCACACACCGCCGCACCCACACGCTGCAGCCCGCACACCGCCGCACCCACACGCTGCAGCCCACACACCGCTGCACACACACGCTGCAGCCCGCACACCGCCGCACAAACGCACCACCGCACACACTCTGCAGCCCGCACACTGCCGCACGCACGCACTGCCGCACACACGCTGCAGCACACACACGCTGCAGCCCACACACCGCTGCACGCACACACCACCACACGCATGCTGCAGCTTGCACACACCACCGCACACACACACCACCACACGCACACACCGCCACACACACACTGCAGCCCACACACACCGCCGCACACACACTGCAGCCTGAACACACCACCGCCATATGCACATACTGCGGCCCACACACACCGCTGCATGTGCACGTGCCACCATGTGCATACTGCTGCATGCACACCACTGCCACGTGTGCACACCGCCACACGTGCACACACCGCCGTGTGCGTGCACGCACACACTGCTGTGAGCACACACCGCCATGCACACACACACCGCTACATGCACACCACTGCCATGCACACACTGCCGAGCACACGCTCAAGCTCCAGAGCTGTCACAGAAAACATCAGTCATAGGGAGGGCCACCTTTCAGCGATCTAGATGGCAAGGATCTTTCTTCATTCTTAAATATTATGGAAATTTTCAAACATGAAAAACTCGGAAAGGACTGGCCAGGCAGGCAGATTGGTCCTGGTGAAGATGGGCATGAAAATGGTTGCCCTGGCAGCCCATGGGCTGCACACTGGGCTGACCAGGAAGGAAGTGAGGGCAGAAAGGAAGAGGCTCCCAGTGAGGTCAGCCCTGGCTGTGTCATTGTGTGAAGAAAACAGAACCAGGAGGCTAGGGTGTGGGGGAGGCCTCCTGAATAGGAGGCTTAGAGGTGGGACAGCTCCGAGTGGCAGCAGCCTGAAGGGTGTGTCCCGAAAGTGGCTGTGAAGACATTCTGTTGAGCAGTTTGAGGGGCATGAGGTCCTGGAGGGAGGGAGGCCTGTGAGCCGGTTATGGGCAGCAAGTGGCAGGGCCATGCAGGGGAAGCTGGCTGGCCTGACCTTCAGTGGGGCCTGAGAGAAGTTTGCCATTGTAGAATGAAGTGAGTAGAGAGCTCAGGATGAAAGGCAACAGGAGACAAAGGGTGACTGGCTGGCTGGCTGATGGGCCTGTCTCCTTAGGACCTTTCTGGAGGCCAGGGCCACATCATGGACGATTCTGACCTCAAAGAGCCTGAAGGACTCCTGACTGTCAGCAGCTTCCGCCTCCACCATTGCAAAGCCCTGATCCAGACCAAGGTGAGTGGCTGCCGAGGAGAGGCGGGGGACTGTGCTGGCTGTGTCCACACAGGTGCCACCCTTCACTTTTTCTGCAAGTCACTTACAGGTTTTCTTCCTTTAAGCCTTGTGGACTTACAGAAAACAAACATTTCTACTATTTAGGGCAGACAAGCAAAGTGTGAACCCCACTGCAGCGTGCCCAGGAATATGAGTGTGTCATCCACAAAGACTCTTAGGCCAGAGGACCCAGGATATGAGTGGGTCACACAGGAGAACTGCCAGGAGAAGCCAGCCAGGCAGAGGAGAGCTGCAGGGAAGCTGAGCCACCAGGTGTGGGTGACAAGGCCGGAAGGATGGGGCAGGGCCAGCTTGGGACTGTTGGGACGGGACGCTGAGTCCACCTGGCAGCTGTCGTGAACAGATCTGACTGTGGCGGCTTCCGCCGTGGGCCACGTACCTTCCACAGGATCTGTCAGCAGCTTTTCTCTCAGGAGCTCAGGTTCCTGCCGCAGAGTCCCTTCACATTGTCACAGCACGGCTCAAGGCGGGAAGAGGGGCTGGGCAGAGAGGGGGACTTCTTCCTGTAGCCTCTCTCTTATCAGGGGGAAGAAGGGCTTTATTCCGAGACGAGTTATTGCAGGAGGGGTGAGTTGGCCAGGCCTCGCTCAGCTGGTTTCTTGCTCACCTGGAGACCCAGGACCCTAGAGTAGTCAGGGCTCATTGTATGCACCCAGGAGATGGTGGGAGGGGCACATGGGCGGCCATCAGCATGAAGAGTGACGTGCAGGGAGGCGCAGGAGTGAAGTACTGCCCTGTGGCCTGGCAGGAGGGGACAAGGTGAGCTGGGACAGCAGGAAGGTTGCATAGCACAGGAGGTGGCCAGGTCAGCTTCTGGGCAAGAATTTGGCATGATTGTGGCACAGCTGATGTGGGGTGGGTGATCTGGATGGTCAGCACACAGGCAACAAGTACCATGGGGCACACAGGAGAGGGCCCTCATCATCCATCTTCATAGGCTGTCTTTTTGCAAAACACCCCAGCACAGGAGAGTTGTCCTAGAGCAGCGGGCCCAGAAGAGATGCTTGTGGCTGTGTGGCTGACAACGGTCAATGCCAGGGTCAGCGTCCAGCTGCAGCTCTGTGGGGAAGCCTGCAGTGTAGTCCATGAGCGGACGCTGCAGGCTGTGAGTGTGCAGGGCAGTGGCAGCCGCCACCAAGGAGTGCCAGAGACCCCGCCTAAGATGTGGGCCCCCCCACTGTTGTAGGGGCTGGCTCCAGGCCCGAGCCACAGGCCCCATGATGAGGCTGACATCCCATGAGAAGGTTTCTAAGAGGAGAACCAAGGAGAGGACACTGAGGGGCCGAGAGGCAGGGACGCAGAGGCAAACACCCAAGCTCGTGTTTCTGGTTGCTGGGGGTGTGCGTGCCTGACTGCTGTCCTCTCCTCTCAGCTCTCGGGGCCGCCTCACAGCAGGCAGGGGAGCCTGATGGCCTGCAGCCGCTTCCTGAAGACCCCCTTCTGTGGAGGTGGGCAGCACTTCACTCTTCCACGGAAAAAGATGTTCACACCACGCAACCTAAAACTGACATTCTTTAATAGCGATATTTGCTAAAATCAGGAGTACTTTATACCTTTATGAGGAATTTTTCATTTTCTTCCTGGCTGGGTTTGATGCTGGAAACCAGAACTGTCTGTGGAGCGGTTTTCCAGATCCCAGGCCCATTTCCCGGAATCTGTCCAACGGGACCTGTCCTGTGCTCTGGGCCCGTCTCAGGTCTCACCGGTAGACGGAGGGTGTGTCCTTGGCAGAGCCAGTCCTCATGGTAGGCAGAGGTTTCTGGGCACAATGGCAGGCTGCCGGCACCCAGGTGACACCCAGGGGTCCCCTACCCCATGTGAATGCTGCTGGCACCTGCTGGGGGGTGCCTAGGGATGGACCCTGGGCATGGCTTCTGGGCTGCCTAGCCCAGGGGAAACAACTCATGGTCAAAGGGGAAGGCGCTGAAATGTCACCAGAGGGACAGCTGTTGAGAGTGCTGAGAGGCTAGGCATGGTGACACGCCTGTCATCCAGCACTTTGGGAGGCCGAGGTGGGCAGATCAGCTAAGGTCAGGAGTTTGAAACCAGCCTGATCAACATGGAGAAACCCCATCTCTACTAAAAATACAAAATTAGCTGGACATGGTGGCGCATGCCTGTAGGCCCAGCTACTCGGGAGGCTAAGAGAATCACTTGAACCTGGGAGGCAGATATTGCGGTGAGCTGAGATTGAGCCATTGTACTCCAGCCTAGGCAACAGAGCAAAACCCCGTCTCAAAAAAAATAAAAAAAAATAAAAAATAAAAAAAAGAGTGCTCAGAAACCCTTCTGTCTGTCCCACCCTGCCCTGCCCCTGGCTGCTATGTGGTCAGGACACCATGAGAGTGTGCAGCTGTGCTGTTTCCTCAGTGCCTCACAGGCCCCTCACTCACTGCCTGTGCCCCGCCCCTGCCCTGCAGGACAGGCCTCTCTCCCTCATGGCTGTGGACAGGAGGTCACAACACTGTCCTGAGAAAGCTTCTAGTGGGCCCATGGCTTTCCCTCATTCTCTGCCAAGGAAAACTGTTCTCTTCAAAGGGCAGAGCCAAGAAATCAGCCCTGACTTTTGCGCAATTTTATTAAATAAAACAGCCTAGATAAGCCTGTTCTCACTGGTTCATCAACTGGGGGGACTGATACTTGAAATCCTGTCCCCAGGAGAGGACTGAAGTCTAAGCAAGTGGCCACTATGGCTGTCTCTGTTCCAGCCAAGGCCACTTGCAGGACCGTGGCCTCCATGTCGCCGTAGTTGTCAGTGGGATGTGTGCAGTGATAGGCAGGTGTTTCCATCAGGAGGGGAGGAGGAAGCGATGTCCCTGCATGCACCCTGGCCTCAGCCACCCAGCTGTGCAGCCAGCACCATGTTGCATGTGGCTTTGAGGTCTATGACGAGGATAGTTCCTTTTTGTTTGTTTGTTTTTGGCATCACATGTTTTGGAAAGCTGCCTTAATTTTTTTGCATTTTCAGCCAGCTGAAAGTGGGAATTTAGAGACCGTTTTTGTAACATGCAGCTTCTTTCAAAGGCACTGTCTTTTGGAACCAGCAAGACCCTCCAGGAGGTGTCCTAGCTTCCTAGCCTTTAGAAGTTAGACTTTAGGCCAGGAGTGGTGGCTCACGCCTGTGTTCCCAGCACTTTGGGAGGCCGAGGCAGGTGGATCACAAGGTCAGGAGTTCAAGATCAGCCTGGCCAATATGGTGAAGCCTATTCTCTACTAAAAATACAAAAGTTAGCCAGGCATGGTGGCGGGCACCTATAGTCCCAGCTACTCGGGAGGCTGAGACAGGAGAATTGCTTGAACCTGTGAGGTGGAGGTTGTGGTGAGCCAAGCTCACGCCATTGCACTCCAGAGCAAAACTGTCTCAAAAAAAAAAAAAAAAGATTTTAACAAGCCAAGATATTCCATCCTGCACTTCCCATTCCAAGATTCAGGTTCAGACTGTGTTATGGCATCACCATGTCACCATGGTGGCTCTTTCTCCTCACCTGGCTAGACGTGGGTGACCCACAGACCTCAGAAGGCCAAGACTTTGTCCTGACCTCCCTGTGGCCCTCACAGGAACCTCAGAAGCAGCAGGTTCCAACCCTGACTTCTGTCCCACCCAGCAGAGAAGAGAGGCCCTGCTGCTCTCACCCCCAGTGGGGAGTGAGAGGAAGGAGGACCCCACAGAGTCAGGTAAGGAGGGACCAGGCAAGGTGCATGCAAACCACTTGCCCACAGCTGCCAAGCCCCCAGGATCTGGAGGTCCCCTGCGACAGACAAGTCCAGAGCTCCCTGGCCTCCCTCAGGTCCACACTGAATGCTTGGGAAGAGTGCCACAGGCTTGGAGTGGGGGCAGGAGCTGAGGACACTCCCCGGGAACGCCCCTCACAGACGTGCTGGGATTTTTGTTCCCAAAGTCTGGAGGCCCATCGGGGCGCTGGGATTGTGGGCAGGAGACAAGCCCGAGGCTGAAGCAGAGGAGCAGGGCTACAAGAGCCCACGGGCACAGGGCAAGGCGCTGGAATGGAGAGCAAAGGAAGCCTCCAGTGACCAAAAGGATGGCAGTCCGGCTAAGGAAGGGAGAAATCCTGCAGCCTCCGAAGCCAGTGGCTTGGCGCGACACACAGGCTGATGTCCAGAATCACCTCAGACTTCCGGCCCCAAAATGGCTGCGCTCAGACCTCGGCCCCAGAACCGCCACGCTCAGACCTCAGGCACGTCCAGAATCACCTTAGACCTCAGGCACATCCAGAATCACCGCACTCAGACCTCAGGCACGTCCAGAATCACCGCGCTCAGACCTCAGGCACGTCCAGAATCACCTTAGACCTCAGGCACGTCCAGAATCACCACATTCAGACCTCAGGCACGTCCAGAATCACCTTAGACCTCAGGCACGTCCAGAATCACCACACTCAGACCTCAGGCACGTCCAGAATCACCGCGCTCAGACCTCAGGCACGATCACCTTAGACCTCAGGCACGTCCAGAATCACCGCGCTCAGACCTCAGGCACGTCCAGAATCACCTTAGACCTCAGGCACGTCCAGAATCACCGCGCTCAGACCTCAGGCACGTCCAGAATCACCGCGCTCAGACCTCAGGCACGTCCAGAATCACCGTGCTCAGACCTCGGGCCCCACACAAGCACGTGCCCTGATGCCACCCTCAGGACGTCTGAGGCCTTCACCACAGCTGCAGAGAAGTCCAGAGCCAGCTCAACTACAGGGAGCGACAACTCCATGCCCACTCTAGCAACCTGGCAGCAGAAGACACGTGCCCCTCTCTGGAAATAAACATTGTTTTCTTCAGCCTCTACTGTTCTTTTATATGAAATGTCGAGCCTACAATGAGACATTACAAGACACATGAAAAGGCAAGAAAACATGAGCCACAGTGAGCAGCGGAAGCAGAGACAGCCCGGTGGTAAAACTGAAGTCAAGGGCTGTGAGAGACCTCTGGGGAGGTGGGGAGGCCGGTGGAAACGGCAGGTGACATCCATGAAGAGACATCCAGCAGAAACATGGAAACTTCAGAAAAGAACAAAATGAAGAGCTAAAAATGAAAACGATAGTATATAAATGAATACTCTTTATAGACAGGTTTAGCAGCAGACTGGACACCACAGAGGAACGGGTCAGTTTACTTGAAGACTGGTCACTAAAGATCCAAACACAGCAGGGAGGGCAAACGACAGAGGGCTGAGAGCTGTGGGGCAAAGTCAGTGGCCTGACCTGGGTGTGACTGGAGTCCCAGAAGCAGGGACAGGAGACAGATTGAAGAAAAAATATTTCAAAATTGAATCACTAAGAACTTTTTGAAATTGATGAAAGAAAATAATCCACAGATCCAAGAATCTCTGTAACTGCCAGCAGATGCCATATAGAGAAAACCTGAACACATCCTCCATTCCTAAAGGCAGCTCGGATGGAAACAGGAGATTCATAGAGAGAAGCTATAATGGGAACAATGCCTCACTTCCCACCAGAAGGCCACAGACTCACAGCTTCTGTGCTCAAGGGAAAAGGAAGGCCAACCTAGTTCACATACATTGAAATATTCTTCAGGCCGGGCATGGTGGCTTACGCCTGTAATCCCAGCACTTTGGGAGGCTGAGGTGGGTGGATCACCTGAGGTCAGGAGTTTGAGACCATCCTGGTCTCTACTAAACCCCATCTCTACTAAAAATAGAAAAATTATCTGGGTGCGGTGGTGGGCACCTGTAATCCCAGCTACTCAAGAGGCTGAGGCAGGAGAATCACTTGAACCTGGGAGGGGAAGGTTGCAGTGAGCTGAGATCACACCACTGCACTCCAGCCTGGGAGACAGAGTGAGACTCCATCTCAAAAAAGAAAAAGAAATATTCTTTAAAAATGAAGGCATTATCAGCCAGGATACAGAAACCACATCAGTTATCTGAAGAAAAAAATATATAAAGACTTACTAGGCCTGGTGTTGTGGCTCACACCTGTAATCCAGCACTTTGGGAGGCCACGGCAGAAGGGTCACTTGAGGTCAGGAGTTTGAGACCAACCTGGGCAACATATTGAGACCCCCATCTCTACAAAAAAGTTTAAAAAAAATTAGCCTGGTGTGGTGGCACTCACCTGTAGTCCCAGCCACCCAGGAGAATGAGGTAGGAGGATTGCTTGAGCCCAGGAGCTGGTGGCTGCGGGGAGCTGTGATCACACCACTGCACTCCAGCCTGGGCAGCAGAGTGAGACCCCCATCTCTTAAAAAAAGTATTAACTAGTGGAAGGTTGTGAACTACTAAAAGGGTTTTGGTTTGGTTCTGATTAGAGACAGGGTGTTGCTATGTTGCCCAGGCTGGTTTTGAACTCCTGAGCTCAAGCAGTTCTCCTGCCTTGGCCTCTCTTTTTGTTTTTGTTTTAAAATAAAGACTTATTTAATAGGCCCTGAAGTAGCAGGTGTGGGAAAGCAGCTTCTCTCAGCCAAGGGTAAGTTATAGTGAGGAACTGAGGCCTAGGCCAGGCCTTTCACAGTGAGTATGGCTGCACAGGACCGGGCCTAGGCAAAGGAACTGAGCTGGAGCTGGTCAGCAGGGACA